ACCTCTTGGCTCCCCATAACTATAAATATGCCTTAGTATCTTTATTCTTGCCATGGGTTACTTTGGAAGTGGTAGATTGGAATTAACTTGATGACAATCCATGAGATTACAAATATAAACTTCCCGGACCAAGATGAGGATCAAAAAAGGGCCCTCTACAATTTACTCTCTTTTGTCCTTAAGAACATCTTCTTTCCTCAGGGACCTTCTACCTACAACCCTTGTTGTACTTGCCCTATTTCTACTCCACATTCCTTTTAATAAACCTTCTGACCCTGGCAATGTACTAAAGATCGAGGTTCCCCTCCTCTCTTTATGGTTGAATAGTAGATGAGAGGAAACATAGCTCCCTGGAGCCACACCCAGCACAGTACCGTGAGAAAGGTATTTTGATCCCGGGGGAAGCCAAGGTGGAGGAAGGAGGCTTCTCCCTCATCAGTGAGGCCAGGGACATGGTGGGGCAGCCCACTTCACTCATTTGCGCAGGGTAAGTGCATGCACTGAGAAAGCCCAGTGGCCAAGGCACAGAAGCAGCAATGGATGTACTGTAGCATGCTAAAGCTCAGAGAACTCTTGTAGCTCATTTAATTCAAACTGCTAACTCAGTAGGTATAGAAAGGAGCCTAGGAAAACAAAGTGATTAATCCAAAGATGCGCAGAGGGTGAGCAGAATCAGAACCCAGGTCATCATCTAGCTTCTCGGAATTGGGAATACATGATGAACCAAGTTCTGGAAGAAGCAAAATCTTCAGATTTTAAATCCACAAGTAAGCTCTCCCACCCTCACTAATCAAATACATGTATTTCCCTTATAACACAACCCATGTCTGACACCCATGTCTCAATCACATTTCTCTTCGTCCTTTTAGCTCACTAATCCTAAATTTCTAATTCAGATCAAGGACACAGAAGACACTCTGCTGGGACCCAACTCTATCCCAGCATGGTGCAGCCTGTGAAGGCAAGCAGCGGTAGCCAGGTGTTGTGCTTATAATAACACAGGCTCTAAATTCAGCAGCTTTGAAGGTTACCATGGCAGAAAGGCAACATGTTTTCCATTAGGAAGAGAGAAAAATTCAAGAATTAATAACAAATAAGGAGGGTGATGGGCAGAGGACGAGTGCTTTGGGTTTGGTCTAGAGGGCATGAAACTAATGACATCCTCATGGCACAGCGTGACCTCTAGGGCAGCATTCACCATATTAGAAGTGTTCTCTGCTATTCTTGTTCCTGTGCAAAGTCAGCTTGATCATTTCCCAAACAGTGACCTAGCTGGGTCTGGTGGTACAGACCTCTAATCCCAGCACTTGGATGACTCAGGCAGGAGGGTGCAGGAGGGTCGCAAGTTCCAGGCCAGTCTGGGCTACAGAGTGAGTTTAAGGCCAGCCTGAACTACATAAGAAGAATGTTATGAAAAAACAAAAACCAATAAACATCACAAACAAAAACAAGGAAATGATGGTTTCTCAGTTATGCATAGTATGGGGCCTCTAACCAGAGCTGGCACTTCTAGTCAGCCCTGCTCTGTCAATTGACACAAAACTGTTCCACAATGGGCATGGGCGGAAGGTTCCAGGCTCTGGAATGCCTGAAAAGCACAGCTGAATTCCAAAATCAGAGTTTTTGCAGGTTATGCATTTATGTTATTCAGATCAAGAGTTAGTTATAAAAAGAATTATTCTTACACCCTTTCTAGCTCAGCTCTCCCCAGAAAACTGGCCCTCATTGCATTTTTGAGGACCTACATCCAGTGCCCCAGCTAGGGTCATCTGAAAACAGAAAGGGCAACCAGAAGAAAGGGTTCATTGCCAATGTACCCTAATTAGTACTACCTAATATTTAATAAACTAGCGAATTTTCTTTTGGGAAAAAACACCTCTCATAAAGGTGAGATATAATAAATATAAAGAAAAAAAGGAAGAAAGAGTGAAAATCTCAGTGACAGGGTAAACTATGAATTTAACTTAGTCAAATGTTTGGGGCCTTGACTAACAGGCAGACTAAGAAGCTGAACTAAAACTTTTCCTGTCTCCCTGGTTTCTAAGAGTCAGAACCAAGTGATTAATATGGCTTTATTTCAACCAAAAACATTTTGTCATTTGATCTATCCATTACATGGTGAGTTCTGGCTAAACTCAAGTAGAAACAAGTCCATGAATATGTATGTGCCTCTCTCACGTTTGATGGCAAATCA